CCGCAGATTTGTGGGGGATTTCCGTTACAGTGATTGCGTCCATAATAGATTTAATTGCACCTCATCTTGTTATTATTTTTAATACTTGTATCGATTCTGGTGTGTTTCCTGATTTAATGAAGTATAGTAAAGTAATACCTTTATTTAAATCCGGTAGTACATTGGACCCCGCTAATTATAGACCTATTTCTGTACTACCAACTCTCAGTAAAATTTTTGAAAAAATAATTTTGGATCAATTGTTAATTTTTTTTTAATACAAATAAATTACTTCATAAAAATCAATTTGGTTTTACAAGGGGTCGCTCGACGTCTGACGCCGGTGTTGAGCTTATGAAATATATTTTTAATGCCTGGGAGAATTCACAAGATGCCTTAGGTATTTTCTGTGACCTTTCCAAGGCTTTCGATTGTGTTCATCATGATACATTAATCAAGAAACTACAACATTACGGTGTAAAAAATTTGGCGCTTAAACTTATTACTTCATATTTAAGTAACAGAACTCAAAAAGTCGTCATCAATGGTAAATGTTCCTCCGGATCGGTAGTATCAATGGGCGTTCCTCAGGGCTCGATTCTTGGCCCATTCCTGTTCTTAATCTATATTAATGACTTACCTTATCTTGTAGGGGACAATCACGATATAGTATTATTTGCTGACGATACCTCCTTTATTTTCAAACTGAAACGGCAGTCAATTAAATATGACGATGTAAATAATGCTCTATCAAAACTAGTACATTGGTTTAACGCCAACAATTTGCTCTTAAACGGCAATAAGACAAAATGTATTAAATTTACAATACCTAATGTAAAACATTCGAAAACCAATGTGCTCTTAAATGGGGAGGAGTTGAGTCTTGTGGATACCACTGTTTTTCTCGGTATTACTATTGACGCGAAACTTCAATGGGGCCCCCATATATCTAAATTAGCAAGCAGACTTAGTTCTGCAGCAAATGCTGTAAGAAAGATTAGAAGTCTCACAGATATTGAGACAGCTAGGTTAGTGTATTTGAGTTACTTTCATAGCGTAATGTCTTATGGAATTTTGCTATGGGGTAATGCGACTGATATTGAAGCTATATTTGTTTTGCAAAAGAGAGCCGTACGGGCGATTTATAATCTAAATTGTAAAGAGTCCCTTAGAGAAAAATTTAAAGAAATAAACATATTAACTTTGGCATCGCAATATATTTATGAAAATGTAATGTATGTACATAAAAACATAAATAGCTTTAATAAGAATAAGGATGTTCATACCTTAAACACTAGGATCAAACATAAGCTTGTAATACCACTTACTAGACTCCACAGAATTAGTAATTCATTTATGGGGCAATGTATACGCTTTTACAACAGAATCCCAGAACATGTTCTAAGTTTGTCAATAAACAAGTTTAAAAGTTTTATTAAAGAAAAACTGTACAAAAAGGGTTATTATAATATCAAGGAATACATGAATGAAAATAACCCCTGGGAATAAGGTGATCGCCACCATGCTGGTTCTATGAAAATTCATTTAAAATTGTATAAACAAAATAATTGTTAAGTGAAATTATGTTTAAAAAAAAAGTCCCGCTGGGTTTCTTGCTGGTTCTTCCCAGGACAGAGATATTTTCCGAACCAGTGGTAAATAAAATAATGACTTTAATTAAGTATTATGTAATAATCCATATTGAATAAAAATCATTCTATTCTATTCTATTCTATTCTATTCTATACTAAAGTTGTGCATAATATATTTTGCAAGTTTAAGGGTTGTGCAAACATTTCTTACATTTTATTCTAAGATTTTGTTATGTTTTGTTATAATAATAATATCAATATAGTACCCTACAATACAATAACAATACAATACTCTTTATTGTACACCATGGAAAGATTGATGAAACAAAAGTAAGATTTTTACGTGGTAGAGCCATGCTGCAGCTATATTAGTAGTAGGTATAGTTGTAGCACGAATGGGTCGGCTCGACCGGGGAAGGACCACGCTCTCACAGAATAAAATTGTAAAATATCAGCTTAACATTGCTATGTTTCGTATGGTAAGTGTAGAGAACCGGAGACCCTTTTTACTGCGATAAACAAATCGTAGGGTTATTTTCAATTCTTGTAGAATATTGAAAATCTCTTTAGGCGCGTAACCACAGCGGTGCAACGCGATAACCGCTATTCTATCTTCTTTCTTCGACTACTCTATAGGGTATTAGTGTTCTGTGATTTGAAAATGAATGAAAATTAATTTGATTTTTATTTTCGGCAAGCGCAAACGTTACATTTTTAAAAATTGGTGAAGTTCATCTAGCCAGTATTCAAAATTTTAAATAATAAGGTTTTGACAAAACTTATGACCCGTAATAATACCTTAAGTGGTAAGACTTCTCCTCTGACCAGGAGGCCGTCTGAGTAGGTACTACCCTTTTACCTACTTCTGCCGCCAAAAATCAGCGTTGTGTTCCGGTCTAAAGGATATAGAGGGCTCGTATAATTTCAGGCTCTGAGTTGCTTAGATTTGCCCTGCATCTGCAGCCCTTTCTGTATTCAATTGGCTGCAAATGTCTGGTCAAGGTCAAGGTCTGGTCATGGTCACTTACCATTAGGTGAAATAGAAATTTAATGATTGTAGCACGAATAGCTTGGCTCGACAGGGGAAGGACACATCTATTTCATATTCTATAAATATAAAGTGATGAAATAACATACATCCTATGCTCACTTGCGACCTTCAAACAAAGAAGAGTACGTTGTAACCTCTGAGTACTAATATGTAATGTCTTATAGTCTGCTATTACTAGTTCTTCACGTGGAAGAGCCATGCTGCGGCTATATTAGTAGTATAATGTCCTCCAGACCGAATTTCGGCCACGGCGGCCAGTCTCAACGGAGACTAGCCATCGGCGCAGGAGAGGATTATAGTGCCCAAGTGTATGCGCAAGCACAGGTGCACTCTCTATTCCCTCACTCTCATAGCCCGATGGGACGGTAAACCGACACGACCGGAGAGAGATCAGGCACAGGACCAACGGCTTTACGTGCTTTCCGAGGCACGGGGTTCACCCCCGCCAACTTCCTGACTCCGGGCAGCTACTGAGAATTTCTTTATGGAATTACTCGAATAACTGATTTTTTGACCCGACTCGGGATTCGAACCCGGGACCTCACGATCAGCAGTCGCACTACTACAACCACTAGACCAACGAGGCAGTATAGTTGTAGCACGAATGGGTCGGCTCGACCGGGGAAGGACCACGCTCTCACAGAAAACCAACGTAAAATAGCAGCTTAACGCTGCTGTGTTTCGTATGGTGAGTGTAGAGAACCGGAGACCCTTATTACTGGCAAAGAGGCATTCCATCTTAGTCCTCACGGGTGGCAACGCATCTGGATCTTGAGTCTTTATTGATGATAGATGTAGATGTCTATGGGTCACAGTAGCCACTTACCATCAGGTGGACTGTGTGCTCGTTTGTCACCCTATCCTATATAAAAAAAATATTATATATTAAACTGACATATATTTAACAATATATTTAAGTGGTTAAATGGCTCACATCAGCCTTCAGACTGGAACATACTAGTGGCGTCACTGCTATTTGACGTTGCTGTTCTCACAGAATACCAACATCAAATAGTTGCTATATTTGTGTTTATATAGCTGCTGTGTTTTGTATGGTGAGTGTAGATAACCGGGGACCCTTTTTTACTGGAAAAGAGACATTCCAACTTACTCTTCAAGAGTGGCAACGTATCTTCATTTTGATTCGTAATCGCAGATAGATGTAATGTATATGGGTTACAGCAACCACTTACCATCAGGTAGATTTTTTTTAATAAGTGGTCGGGCTTCTTTAATGCCTAGAAGTCCGTCTAAGTAGGCACCATCCTCTTACATATTTATTTCTGCCGCTGAACACGGAAGTTTTAGAGATTTAAGAAAATTAGAAGCTGTAAGGTTTTCCATCTTGGTCCTCAAAGGTGACAATGCATCTGTTGACTTCGTTGATTGAGTTTAGCTGCAGGTATCCGCGGACTGCAGTAGCCACTTACCATCAGGTGGACTGCAAGTTCGCTTGTCACTTCAATGATATTTATAAAAAATACGCAGAAGTAGAAAAAAGCGAATATCCAAATCACTAGTAATAAATAAATATAAAAAAAATATTGAGATGAATCAAGATGAGTTTTTGACGGCTCCATGGCACAGTGGCTTAGCAATGAGTTAGGGTTCTAAAATCCGCGGGCTCGAATACCGCACGGAACAAGTTTACGTGTGACCTACAAGTAAGTTTTCCGAGTCTGTATGTTTGTTCTTGTGCAGTTTATGTTTTTAGGCTGCCTTTTTTTATAGGATAGGGTGACAAACGAGCACACAGTCCAACTGATAGTAAGTGGTTGCTGTGGCCCATAGACATCTACATTTATCTTCGTCTTCGAATCAAAATGCAGATGCGTTGTCACCCGTGAGGACTAAGATGGAATGCCTCTTCTCGAGTAAAAAGGGTCTCCGGTTCTCTACACTCACCATACGAAACATAGCAGTGTTAAGCTGCTACTTTACGCTGGTATTCTGTGAGAGCGTGGTCCTTCCACGGTCGAGCCGACCCATTCGTCCTACAACTATACTTCTAATATAGCTGCAGTATGACTCTACCACGTATGAAACGTATGCCTCCACGATACAGGACAAATCCTAGCGTGCAGCTAACGTTTTACACGTTTAAGTTAATCAAAATCTCCGTTATGTATTACGCGTACCAATGACCAGTATATATAATTTAATAACTTTATCCAACCTGTCCGAAGAGATTAACAGCACTATCGGAAGCATTATCTAACCAGTGCTAATCCCGTTCCTGTCAATATGCCCTTAAAAAGTAGCAAAGTGGTTTACTATCGCGGTAAACGATTAGGTGTGTCCCTTGTACTCATATCAATTACTGAGCATGTATTGATAACTGTGATAAAAAATTCGGCAGTACTTAACAGACCGTCGACATGTGCGCGTGCAGGCTCAAAAAGTCTTTCCTCATTGATGATATACTTGATCATCAAAAGAAGCCCTATAGAAACCTAACAAACAATCCAACAGAATCACTATCATTTAAATCTAAAATTGTTGATTCAATAGAGAATGAAAAAGAAGCAAAGTTTAACACAAGAGAAGTAGATAGAGAATTGGAACTATCAAATGTCAACATAAATCTTGAACAGAGAAGTAATACGTATCCATTGTATCCAACACCAATTAAAGCGGGAATTCCGTGGACACCGTACAGAGTTAAAGCGAATTATCCATTGGAGTCCAGGCATCCATTCAGTTACTACAGTGACCCAGTTATGAATTCGGACCAAATTCTACGGAGTCAACTGGCTGTCAACAGATTCTCGTCGCATCCCTACATCCGACAGTCATACGGCTTTGATAGAGGTAAAAACTTTTTTTTTAATTAAGTATGGCAATGATGCTGATAGATTGCGGATACTGTGGCCCATAGACATCTACATCTGTCCTAATCCCCCCTGAGGACTAAGATGAACTTCCTTGTTTCCAGTAAAAAGGTTCTCCGATTCTCTACACTCACCACACGAAACACAGCAGCATTGAGTTGTTAATTTACGCTGGTATTATGTGAGAGCCAGTAACATTAAGTTGTTATTTTAGTTTAAATAAATTTTTAGCTACTTATAATTAAAAATTTCGTCGAAATTTCCGTAATATTTAGAACCATTTCATTTTTGCTAGACATAAAATAATAGCGGTATTAGGGAACACCGTCAATGATGCAAGACGTTTTAAACTGTGATTATCAATCCATATACCAAGATTTCCTTCTTCATTATAAGAGATCACCATCATCACAGTCCTTCAAAGTACCTCCCCTCCCCCCCCCCCATTCCCCCCTGTAATATCACAAATTATGGTCCCGAGCTACCTACATCCATCGACTTCCTGCATATTTTACGTGTAAAAGAATAATATATAATTGTCATCTTCAATATCTGTACTTCGCCTCTTTCTGGTAGAGAATTATTTTAACTATTGATCATTTTTGTTAATATTTATATATTTTGGCGTACAGTAAACTGTTAACTATCTATTTATCTATCATTTGTAATTGCTTTGACCTTAGTGGGTTCATTTTCGTATTGTAAATGCACGTTACATTTTTAACTGTTTTGACCTCAATGTGGTCGATTTACATATTATGCATAGACAGTCTTATCAGTCTGCACTAAATGGCAAAGGAGCTATTACAGGTTTGACTTTGAAAATCAGCCGCTAGCTTTTTTCTCATATCAATAATTAAAACTATAAAGATAAGCAAGATCATCGGTAGTAAGCTTGATACATCTATTATTGCATTCTCGGGCATTAAAATGTTCTATTCAAATATAATATTACAAGCGGTCCGCCCCGGCTTCGCATCTACCTACCGGGTCCAAATGTGAATCTAAACGATTCTTTAATCAACTTAATCACATACACACAAAATTTCATCAAAATCGGTCCAGCCGTTTAGGAGGAGTTCAGTCACATACACACGGACAGAAGAATGTACAATATACTTGCGATCCATCCCGGCTTTGCACGGGTGGTTTCTGGGTCTCAACAACAGTGCCGCCTACCGGGTCTATTTTGTTAAGTTTGAGTTTTTAAACCAGGGACCTAGATGGTTTCAAATATACCCAGTATACTCGTAGATAAGACTCAAATACACACCAAAAAAATTACGAAATTCGAGTTATATAGAGATAATATGCATGTGTTATACATATAAACTTTTCTCTTGAATTTTTCTGTGTATTAAATGAAACTAACTTTTACGGATTTTATCGCGTTTAATTTAACTTTTTAATTCCCGACGTTTCGGGTGCTTTACAGCACCCGTGGTCACGGGGGGGGACAGAGGTGTTTGACGTCCCGATGTCATAGTTAGCCCGGCTACCTTCAGTTTTTTAATATTAATTTTCAGCACCGACGTTCCGGGAAGTCTGCAGTGTGTGAACATGTTCTAGACCGTCCCCGCCATTACATTAGATTTGATAGACCACAAATCCTTGCAAAAGAACACCGATTTCTACGAAGGATGATTCGCGAGGCTATTGAAATTAAATAAACATCCTAATTTCATAAGAGAAGATGGATGGGTGCTGCCATTTGTTTGGGATCCTATTATTAATAAAATTCAATCCAAACCCAAGCCTACTGGTAGGCTGTGACCAAGACTGTGACCCCCCCCCCCCCGTGGCCACGGGTGCTGTAAAGCATCCAAAACGTCGGAAAGTAAAAAGTTTAATTAAACACGATAAAATCCGTAAAAATTAGTTTCATTTAATGTTTAGTCTTCGCTTAAATATAAGAAATCATTTTTCTGTGTATTGATGAACCGTATCATAATCATAATCATAAATCATTTATTTGCAAGAAATATGGTTGGTACACAAGATGTTAAAGTAAGTTATAGCACAGGACATATTTCACCCTCATTATGGGCATGCAAAATCATAGTAAATTTACAACAATTATTTGAATAAAATTACAATTATTAGAACTATTTGAATAACAATTTATAAGAACTATTTAATTGCAATTATAACAGTCTTTTAAATTTCAATTATTTGAATTACATGATTGAATTATTATAATAGACTAAGTCACAAGAAATAAAAAGAAAGATCTGATATCTGTAATCGTACCGTATCGAGGCATATGGCTAGTCTCCGTTGAGACTAGCTGCCGTGACCGAAATTCGGTCTGGAAGACATTAAATATTATTAAAAAAAAAAAGGGGCATCATCTAATAGTTTCTTATTTAGTAGAGTTAAAAGAGGCAAATCTTCAAATACCTAACGATGGAATATTAAAAACACTATAAGCATTAACTCTTTTGTAGCTGGCTCTAAAATGTATTATAACTTTTTTTTAGTATAAGGGTGACAAACGAGCACACTGTCCACCTGATAGTAAGTGGTTGCTGTGGCCCATAGACATCTACGTATTATCCTCGTTTGCGAATCAAAATGCAGATGCGTTGTCACCCGTGAGGACTAAGATGGAATGCCTCTTTTCCAGTAAAAAGCGTCTCCGGTTCTCTACACTCGCCATACGAAACACAGCAGTTTTAATTTGCTATTTTACGCTGGTATTCTGTGAGAGCGTGGTCTTTCCCCGGTCGAGGCGACCCATTCGTCCTACAACTATACTTCTAATATAGCTGCAGTATGACTCTACCACGTATAATAACTTAACTTAAAAAAATGTCAGAGTCTGAATGTCCCCAATTATTATTTTTTTTCATTTATTTTGGCAACAAACAGTCATATTTCTTAATATATAGTTTACAATTATGAAAGCACTTTAATTCTTGAGTCACCTAGACTATGTCTTTATGCATACATTATACTCAGGTGGACCGTATGCTAGTTTGTCACCTTTATAAAAAGGTATATATATATATATATATATATATATATATATATATATATATATATATATATATATACATATCAATTTAAAATGTTTTTTAAATCTTCGAAACGCAAAATTCTTCACGACTAACTTAATTCCAAGAAACCTTTGAAAGAGTACTCGGCGATGATGAAAATCACTACTGACTACTGAAAATTACCCTCATCATCGTCACTTCACAAGTCCACTGCTGAACATAGGCCTCAATATACTATATATAGCCATAACAACAACATGATTAACAAGAATGTGATTTTACAATGAGTTTGCCTTAATATTCTTTAAAATGTAATTATTGTGAAAGAAATAATTGTAATTGTGATTTTTTATTGTAATGACTGGAAGCATGTCTCGTCTCAATCGCGTCATAACTTATAAAGTTACTACGAATTACAAAGCCTCTCACAAAACATGCCACAAAGCACGGTTTGGAACCACCTGCTTCCATCGACTTTATACATATCTTACCAGGTCGTCACTCCATCTAGTGGAGTGCCACCTAAACACTTCGCTTACCGGTACGTGGCTGCCAATCGAGAACCTTACAATATACTCCTGCAATATGCATTATGCCTCTGAACTATAGGGTTCTGTTTAGATATTTCTTCTTTAGCCCGTTAGACTGTCCTCTGTTGGACATAGACATGTTCCACATAGGAAAAGTACTACAATCGGCAAACTTGACAAGCGACAATCATAATCATTGTCATCATCATTACAAGATGCTGCTGCCCATCTCCTGTTTCATTTTTTTTTGTAAAACGTTTCCCCGTATCGTCTCTCTCGATACCAACGGGATAATCGTAGCAACATTAGTCTAACGCCATTCGACTACTGTCGCGGACTACTCCCAACACAAGCATTTTAGAATATTGATAATGTTAATAGCATTGTTAGTATGTTTCTTTTAAATGGTATTGTGTGGTAATGACCTCTCATACGCTGCTATTATACGTTGAATTGACAATGGCACTAGGAGTAACAAAATATCATCTCGCGACTTTGAAGTTTCTCTCTCTCTCTCTCTCTCTCTCTCTTTAAATTTTTTTTTCTTATAGAATAATGGTAAAAGCAAGCACACAGTCCACTTGAAGCTAAAGCTGTGGCACATAGATATCTACATCTAGCTTCAAGTGTCTCGTGAGCAGTAAATAGGGTGTCCGGTTGTCTACACTTACCATACAAAACGCAGCAGCATTGAGCTGTTATTGAATGCTGGTGTTCTGTGACATCCTTCCCTTCCGGTCCTTCCCCAGTTGAGCCGACTCATTCGAGCTGCAGCCATAATATAGCTGCAGAGTGTCTCTACCACGTAACAAATGTAGAATCAAAGTGCTCTGTCTTCCAGGATGATTAAGTACTTTGATTCTTAATCGAGTATAGAATACCAGCGTAAAATAGCAGCTTAACACTGCTGTGTTTCGATTGGTGAGTGTAGATAACCGGAGACCCTTTTTACTGGAATAGAGGCAATTCGTCTTAGTCCTCACGGGTGACAACGCATCTGCATTTTGATTCGTAATACGAGCATATAGAACCGGAGACCCTTTTTACTGGAAAAGAGGCATCCTATCTTAATCCTCACGGCTGACAACGCATCTGCATTTTAATTCGCAAACGAAGATAGATATAGATGTCTGTTGGCCACAGCAACCACTTACCATCAGTTGTACTGTGTGCCCGTTCGTCACCTCTGCAAAAATGTACACATATCATACTTTAAAATATTTTTTATTTCTTCAATACGCAGATTCATCACGACGAATTTCTTTCCAAGAACCCTTTTAGAGAGTACTGTGACAGCGGTGATGAAAATCGCTGCTGAACACTGCAAAATGCCCGCCATCATTACAGCACTTCCCAAGTCCACTGCTGAACTCCCATAGCCTCTCAAAAATAGTAAATCAGTACATAAAATTTTAATAAACAATTTCATTGGTGCCGGCGGGTATCGAATC